GAAGCAGAGCCAAGGATCAGAAAGAAGTCATCAAAGGCAGCCGCCCACCTCCCCCTCGGGTCAGGCAGTGAGTCACTGAGGTGCTGGGCACAGCTGTGTCAAAGGAGCTGACACCTCCAACATCGGTGCTGGCGCTTGATCTGCTCCTCCAGTAAAAAGGAGATCCGTCAGCAGCTCCACTGTGGGACACAAATGCCGCAGACAGGTTCTGGATGGATAAGGGTGGCTTTTAATCGTGCATTCACCGTTTTTACCAGCCACAAGTGCAAGAAGACAGCTCGGGGTGTTCCCTGTATGGCATCAAGGTGATTCCTTGCTCACATTCTTGCTCCTGCAAGAAATGACCAGGAGATCGAAGCTCCCCTCTGGATCATGAAGCTGGGAAAAGCTGTGTGCTGGAGCAGAGCACATGGAGGAAGGATGCTGGGAGCCAGTCCTGTGCTTCATTCCCATGATTTAGCACAGCCCTCTGCTCTCTCAGTTTCATAAGCTCCTTATGGACCTGTTTTTACTATTCTAAACAGTCACTTTCCCATCCTTAAATAATCTCTATTTCACTCTATTTTAAAATTATTCCTTTTTCCTCACCACCATTTCCATGTTTCCTTCGCTATGTTCCCAGGGGGTCTGACACTTCTACATTAATAGAAGACAGTGACCTGTGATAAAAATACACTTTTATGGAGTGCTTGGGCAGGAAGCATTACAGGACCTGAGCAAGAAATAAAAATACAATAAAGCATATGAAAATCCAGCTCAAATGGATTCATTGCCACAAAACCAGAAACAAGTTAGCAGACACCTTGGCAAAGACTCAAATCATTTTCTGTACAACATTCATGGAAGCAGGCGAGGGTCAAAAGCTGTTGCAAAGTTGTTTGGAACAAGGAAAATAGTAACTGAACGGAGATGACACACTTGGACATTCCCACATTTTTTAAGTTAAAGCAAAGAGACGGGGTCAGAGCTGAAAAATCACCTGTGAGGGTTTATACAACAGCGCTGGGTCTATTGGGCAGCAGTGTCCCAGTAACAGATCAGAGAAGAGCAGGTTGTCTTCATACCACCCAGAAATCCCCTGCTGAAGTGCAGGCCAGGGATTCTGCACCCTCAGCCATGATGGGGAGAAGATGAGAGACGAGGGGAGAAGATGCTGGGAAGCAGAGCTGGCATCCAGGGGCCAATTTGCAGTGCAAGCATTGATCTTCCAGCTCACAGCCCAAAACTGAAAGCACTGCACCAGTGTGCTTCCAGCTCTCCAGGGTACACCTGGGAACAGAAAAGGGTCTTCCACACCAGCTCTGCCTCGACATACCCTGGGCCAGATTACACTGAGATACCCAGGACAGAGGGTAAAGAAGCCATCCAGGACCAAACTGGAGAAATTTACTCTCATGAACATCCACAAGCACAGGAGAATCCATATGCGTTTGCAGACATACTGCCGGCCAGAGTCCAAAGACCACACACTTCCCCTTGACTAGTAACAGTGCTGAAGCTCCAGAGCTTCATCTGCCTCCTTGCAGAGCCTTTTTCTTCTAGGGCAGGAAATGCTTGCTCAGCCTGCAGGAGAAGGAGATCCTAGAAGAGTCAGTGTAGGCAGCTGCCTTTTGTGGTAGCAAAAGCACCACAATCTTGGACACCTTGAGGGCTTTTACTCCTGCTGGGAAAGCAAAGGCTAAACAAAACTATAGACTGGGGCTGCCTATTTCTCCTCTTGGAAATTCAGCTGCCAGTCCCACAGAGCAGCAGGAAAAATCACATTAATTTCCTCAGAGATTTTTATCACCTCAGTCTTGGCATGGGAGAGGCATCTCCGCCCAGCTGTGAGCAAGCAAGCGCATTTTGCCGTCTTTTTTATGTAATCAGAGCAAATTCCTTGGAGATGAGTCACGGGGCTTCAAGGGTGTCCAGAGAGATGTCAAGCAGCCTCAAGTGTAAATCAGTGACACACCTTGCTGAGAGGACTCACGCTTGCCAGCAGGCCTATTTCCCTTGCAGACACCAGGCAAGGGAAGGGGCTCTCAGATGTCACCAGACAGGCTCCCACACACGTGTGGCACCTCCAGACCCAGGAGACTGCTGGTGTTTACATTTCCTCTGTAAAGACAGTGATGGTTTCAGGGTGGAGCTGGAGTGCTTCCCTGCAGCTGCTCCCTAGCATTAAACACTGAATATTTTTGGACATTCAGGCTGGAGGAGCTTGGCATTCAGTGAAGAGATCTGAACTTCAAAAACAGAGTTCTGCCCCACCAAACCTGGTCAAACTGCAGGGGTTCCTGCCTGGGATGTTCATTATTGTGGAACAGCTGTGATGAGGCAAGGTTAAGCAAACCTGCTCCCCTTCCCTGCCCAGGAATGAGTACTCCAGGCTCCATGGGTCTGCAGGCCAGAGGACAAAGATGATGCTTGCATAATTTCAAGGCACAGCCTGCTTTAGTGCTCCTTTAGATGCTGAAAGGCAGAGGAGGACCAGAACGAACTAGGCCTGGACATAATCCCAGAGGTCCAAAGTAACACTGAGGAAAACGCTGTGGATGCCCTTTGGGCCTCTGAGTGTCAGAGCAGATGGAACAGACAAAGACCTTGGTGGAGCTGGGTTCTGAGTCACTATTTCACTAATGCCAAGGGCAAGGTTTGGCACAAGGTATCAGTGCAGGCCAGCCTCCCAATTTGCAAAGTGCATGCAGATTTTTCTTCAAGCAGGGTGTGCAAGGTGCTTCCAGTCTGGAGAGGGCCAAATCTCTATTTGTGCATTCTTTGGGGGCAACTGCAGAAGACATAACCCAGCTATTATGCCCTTCACCTTTCAACTTCACCCTCAGGTGACTAACAATTACCAGCTACCATTAATATTAAACGGGAGAGAAAGAAATGCGATCCTCTCTCTGCTCTTCACATTCCACAATATCACAAACAATTTGTCATATTGGGAGGGGCAGAGGCGGGAGGAGCATTAATTATTGATACTTGGGAACAGATGGCTTTTCTTGTACCAGGGCAGTGAAATGTAAGAGGAGCTGTGGGTGAGGATGTGAGGATTAGATGGGCAGACACGTATCAGGTAACCAGTCTTCAAGTGGAACAGGAACCTTCCTCCTAGAACCAGCTCCTCTGGCCTGCAGAGCTCTCAACAACAGCCTTGTCTGCAGAAACAAATCCACTGACATCTGAACTAGTGAGGCTTCACAGAAACTTTCAACGCTCCCTCACCTCTGTACAGAACATCCCGGACACGATGACTGACAGCTTCCAGACAGCAGAGGCCTGGCAAATCAGGCACTAACTGCTCTCTCCAGGAGACCTTACTGGTTGCATTTCATGTGTTCATCCTCATCTAACCGCAACATTTATTCCTGAGACCACACACAATGTCCAAGAGTGACTTCCTCTTGCCTTCCAGTGGCGTTTGGATCCCATTCAGAGTGCTGGTCTCCAAAATCAGAGATCCAAGTGGTCTGGACCAGTGACTTCAACCAGAGACTCTGTTATCCAACTGTTTTTGCCAACCAGCTGTAATGAATCAGCCCCGGGCCTGTGGAGCCCAGGGTGCTGTCTCTCTGGCAGTGGTTATAAGCAGATGCCCAAGGAAGAGCCAGAACCAGGCAAGTCAATGGTTATACCTCCTTTACTGCTGCAAAAATTATATTCCTTGGCTATTTTCTATTCAGGGATTTCACAAGCCAGACCACCTCTGTACACAGTGACTCAATTTTCCTCTCTGGACATACCCCTCAAATTCTGTAAATGAGCACTCACTTTCCCAGCCAGGACTGATTAAATCCAGGGTTATGTCACTGACCAAGGCAGACTCTCTTGCTACCTCCACAGGCCCAGAAGGTACCTCAGGACCACAATGTCCAGTCCCTTGATATACTAGGACTTCCTCACAGTCTTTTCCCAAACTCAGTGTGTTCTCCTGGCCTCTCCTAGGAGCCTGTTCCAAAGCCTCATTACTCTTGATAATTAGACACACGCTTCTCATTTCTCAACTTGACTAATCACTGATTTATAATTCCTCTCAGTCTGCCTAGGGTCATGCAGCCTGCAGCCTGTGAGAGTACCAAGACACATACAATCTTGTGATTTGGAAAAACACAACTTCCCAGGTTCCCTCCTAGTCTGGAGCAATGGTAAAGTGCTTGAGGTGAACAAATGCCAAGTGCCAGGAGACAGCTACTGTCCATGAACAATACAACTTTTCACAGCACGGAGTAGGATAGAGAAACTTTCCCTGCCAAGGAGACAGTGAAGAGGGAGAAGCAATTTTAGAAAGATCTGGGCCTCATCTGGGAAAGAACGAGCTCCACCAAAAAAGCAGCAAACCTCCCCACTACAGAAGCTTTGATCAGTGTCCCAAGTTTGCTCTAGTTTGGTACCAGAAATGGACAGACCTGAAGGCATCTAACTGCTCCGTTATACCAATAAGAGAGCTTTTGTTCATCAAAAAATGCTGTTTGTATCACTGTGATAGTACCAGAAAATGTTTCTAGTGTGCATCTCTTTACAAAGCAGTGTCTGCAGAGCCCTGATATGTGAACTGCTGCTGAACAGTCCTCTGAGAGCTGCACGGGCTGATCTCACCTTCCCATGTTTCACAGGGCCCGAAGAGGGGATCATCTCACAAAAGAAGCCTATGGATCAGAGAGCAGTACAATGGATCAAAAATCAGGAGAGGTCACATCTTTTCAGCCCCAGAGCAGGACTGCTCCCTTTCACCCTTCTTGAGTTAACATTTATGTGAATCTTTTCCCTGCTGCTCAAAGAAGGAATTACATTATATACACATTCCAGAGAACTTTTCCCAGCAGTAATAACCATTTTTAACATACATTGCGCTTGGGAGAATGTCTAGAATTTTACAGGCAAATGCATGGGTGGAGCTGTGTTTTTGACCCACACAGGAAAGCTGGAAGTTGACATCACCATCCCAGTCAGGCTCTGGAATCGGGGTGGCCGGCGGGCTTGGCAGGAGGATGTGCTTGGCAGGAGCTCCCTACCTCTTTGATGGCAGACATCTTGATGGTCTCATAGTAGTGCAGGGGTGCATTGGGTGAACTCATGTCATAGCCAAACCCAGCTACCGCCACCTCATCACAGTTGTGGAGCGCCATGGTTATTGCTACGCTTCCCAAGGTGGGGATGTTCTGAGAGGAGAGAAAGCAGGAATGGAAGTCATTAGCAGGTTGCCATTTTTATAATCAAAGATTTCCTCTTATTGTCCCTGCTCACAAGGGCACTGCTGCTACTAAACAGAAAACCAGAAATACGGTATTTGGTTATATCTGCACGTCAGCTGCCCAGTGTCAGCTTGGTGGGGTCAACAGCCTCCCAACTTGTAAAGAAACTCATACATCAGCCAGCTTCCTGTGAATCATCTAACCCAAAAGTAGCAGCTCTTGTCTGAGGCTCTGTGACATGACTCTCCAGGGGAGAGCACTGAAGGGTAGAGGTATTAATGAAGATGGTTAGACTCCCCTTCCACAACTCTGCCATCCTGAGAAGAGGGCAGCAGATGAGCTGGAGGATGAATCACAGTGGATATGTTAGCTTTCCAAAATTAAAACAGATGTAGATACTGCATTACAATGCTATGCACACTATTGGCTTCCAGTTAGGCTAAGGAGGAATTCTTATCCCAAACAGGTCAGCACACAGGAGCAGAATAAGGAACAGCTTGTTTTACTGATGGTAAAAGCAATTTAAGGTTGTTAAACAGCTCTGGGAGATGGAGAGGAGATAGGCAGAAGTGTGGTCCAAGACCCCTTCCTTTTCCCAGGGGCACTCCAACAGGCAAAGGGCACTCTGGCCTGTGCCATACCCTCCTACCCACAGCATTCTGGGAAGACAAGGAGCAGTGGGAAGCCACTCAGAGATGGGTGGTAGCACTCCAAGCAGGGACACCCCAACTGTCCTCTCCCATCTGCTGACCTGCCATTTGCACTGAAGTCCCGCCTCAGCTCTTCCTGTTTCACCTGGCTTCTGTCGAGGTCCTTTACAGCTACAACTCCTCCTCTGCGTTCAGATGAACATGACCACTGGGACAGCCAAGTGTTTCCAGTGTAAAATCCTAGCTCACTGACTCTTCTAGCTCCCCTTTAGCCAGATGAATCCAGAGGCAGCTTTGCCCCGGGGGCTAGGGAGAGGCTGAGAAATCCACCCACGTATCTTATCTTCATTTGTAGAGCATCCAACACCGGTCGTATCAAAAGTATCATGAATTCAGAGGACGTGCTCAGACAGTCACCAAGGGTGACAGCCTCCTAGCTGAGGTGTAGAAACCAACTGCACATTTATATTTTTCACTGACAATGGCTTACCCTGAACCGGTGAGCAATGCTACTGCATGTTCAAAAAGGTTGGGAACAATGTTTTGAATTTCTGCTTCTCATTCAAAGGAACCGGTTTTTGTCAGCACTTCTGACTGCCTGACCAGTGGGAAGAACAACGTTTTCCAAGCAAAGGATGTTACCCATACTGCATCTGAGACGTGCAGAGCTGGGAGCACAACTCACATGCTACGGAGAAATTCACTATAGTGCACTGGAATTACTCTAATGTGAAGACAAACAGGCAAAAACTGCTTATGGCTAAGTCAGTGAGACATTAAATTAAAACATTTGCAGCACAACTGTAACAGTGAACATCTAAAATGAAAAGACCTTCCTATATCCTCCTGTGCCAGCTCTAGATGTTGGGAAAAACAGCAGAGCTCATTTTGTTCTTGCTGCTTAATTTCAGTTGATACTCCCACAAACAATACTGGTTTTATTCTATTTACTTTAGTTAATTGTTAATTCACCGGTAGCCAAAAAATATCAAGGGGTTTAAAAACATAGGGGTTTAAAAAAAATTGGAAAAAGTTTATTAGGCAAGGATACAAACATTCCCCTGAATTTCAAAATATCCAAGAACATCCTGTCTTCCCGGACATGGCAGTTTGAATTCAGATTTCTCAGCTCTATTTTGCATAGGAGATGACATCTGGATGTCACTGGAATTGCATCAGCTGGTAAGTGAACGTGCCACAAAACGCTTTCCCTCAGCAGAGCTGTAGTTACAGTGTCCAAAACATAGTGAGTAAATGGTTACGTCCTTGAGACTGTGTCGTCACTGGGAATAGGATGGTGTTAACACCACCCACACTTGCACTGGGCCCATTCCCACGGTACAGCTCGAGGGAGACACAGGGTCTTTGCCTGGAGGGAATTCTACTGGCCAAGCCAAGCTAACATTTAAGAGCTGACTTTCTAATGTGAGTCTTGCAAACCGCAGAGAATTAATCACACTACCCAACCTCACGGGAGGACTGCCAAACGACCACAACTTTCTTTCAGGCATAATTCTTACTTCTGTTTGGAGAATAACAGAAAACAGAAATGGAGAGTGAACTTTCCTTTGTCACCAAATATCTGCCTGACTTTATTCCATCTATAATACGTTGACGGTTTTAAGGAAAAATAGGAGCTAATTTTCTCATCTGCTTCTGTTCTTCATTAGTTCCTCACATGCCAGTACTTCAGTACCACCTGCTCTGCTCTCAAAAATGATTAAAATACCAGAGACCATCTACCTACCTAACTTCTTGAACTGTAGTAGATGGATCTGGCTTGGTCCCTACAGCTATCAGAGTGTCCTTGCAAAATAGTTTTGCATTGCTCTGAAATCACATTTGGAAACTGATGATCCGATGGCATTTTCTTAATTGAATTATTCCTTATGGATGTTAGCACCCTCCAAGACTGTGGTAGCTACAGCCTAGTGTGTATCCCCCTTGAAGGCAGAGATCTGCAGCCATTCCTGCCTTCATTGGTGAGATGCAGCCTCACATCCCACTGCTGTTTGCACATCAGAACCCTGTGGGCTAGAGAGGAGCACCTCGAAAATACTGTAAATATTATTATCCTTGCTATTCACTGAGGGCAGTAACTGTCAGGGCAGCACAGGGGTGCTTGCAGAGCCCACCTGTAACTAACACTGCCTAAGAGAAGAACACGAGTATAAAATGTGTGTGCACCCAGATCTAATACATATAACTGGGCACTTGCTCCAAACTGCTTATCTTTAAAAAAGAAGCAATCATCAGAGGGATGCAGTAACTGGGGAGTTCAACAGCCTTGAAGAAAAAGGAGCTAGCTTGAACAGAAGTATAAAAGAAGCACAATTGTTGGTTAACTAAAGGTTAGTACTTTGGTCCTGACTTGGTTTAAGCTAGAGAAACGGAGCCCTTTTCTCCTGTGGCAGCCTGCTGAGCTTCTGCTAGTCCTCCCTGTTGAAAATGAAGAACTACCTCGGGTCCAGCTTGCAGCATGGGAAAGACAAGGCCTTGTAGGATCTAGGGAGGTGTCCCAGGCTGTGCTGCAGAGAAGCCAACTCAGCAGCATTCTCCAGGTCCAAGGAAAGGACTCTCATCTCCTCTCAGCAAAGAAGTGGCAAATGACTGGAGCCACGTATCAGAGAAGAAATGGTTATAATTACTCTCTGGCTGCATCTACGCAGCTTCCAAGCTCTCCTGATTGTACACAGGCACATGAATCTGTTGGCTGCAAAGCTCCAATCTGGATCTAACAGACCATGTACAACCCATGAGGCAAGTTGGGGGACAAGTCACTCCAAAAGAAGTTAGGCACCATGGACATGGCTGTGCCAAATCTGGCTTGCTGTGCCCTGCACAATGCGTCAGTGCTATCTCACCACACACACCCTTGTGCCGTGCCCCAAAGACATACCAAAGCAACCACCACACCTCCTGCATTGAGTTATGAAAATACAACTCTCTCAAACAACCGAGCAGGTCTCTTGTTATTCTAGCCCTTTGCTAAGAAAAAAAACCAAAATCCCAGCATCCTGCCTCAGAAATAATACTCTGGTGTTGGACCAGCTCAAAGCCTGTCTTCCTGCTCATGGCTGTCTGTGTGCCTGGGTGTTCCTGTATCACCAAGAAATGGTGCTTTTGACCAAATGGTCGAAGAGCAGGAGCTCAACAGTGGCCAGTGCTGAGGCAGGAGCCTCCTGGGATGCCTCCCAGCTGCCCAGAGACTGGCCAGTACAGGTCATGCCATGGCATGGGGCTGCCTGGAGTGGCCCAACAGGACCACTGCTCCAGATGTGGCCATGATGAGTTTTGGACCTGAATTGGTGCCCATCAATCAGTGTGAGCAAAGCCCCAGAAAGCACTGGCAGTCCTCTCCCCCTGTCAATTCCCTGCCATAAGCCTTGAAATTGGCCTTGCAAGCTCTGTATTGCCTGCTGTGTGTCAATTGTTTCTGTCCCAGCTGGGGCCTATGGAGATAACAGGTTCATCATCCTCTCTCCAGTCCTGGTAAACAACAAGGGCAACCTCACTGCATAACATGTCCAGAACTGGAAGTCCACATTTTCAAGCCTGTCCTGCTTGTCTAAGACCAAACATCTGGAAAATGTAATATCTAATATAATGCTCCCCAGGGATCAGCCCTTTGCTTGGTCCCATTTGAGGGAATGCAGCAGACTGACAGATGAGCCAGAGACGACACTAAAAGGCCATGTGACAAACAGAAGCAGCAAACACAGCAGTGGTGAGCAACGTGTCACTGGAGCAGTGCTGGGCAAAGGCTACCTGAGCCTCCAGAGCCTGGCTCCTTCCAAGGGTACACGTCCTCCATGGCTGAGGTGAGCACATGCTTGGTGGATCTTGGTGAGAAAAGCATAAAGACAAGAGAGGCAAAGACTTCTGCTCTCGTGCTGCATCAGGGACCACTGCAAGCTCTGTGCAGAGCAAACACAGCCAGTCTGCACCACCAGGTCAGGGGACCACAAGTGCCTTTAGCAGTACAGAGATGGGACAGGTTCTCCTAACTGCTCCTACTCTATTCTCTGTTGCAAGCAGAAAGATAAAAGGCTTTCCCTCAAGACATTGATGTTTCATCTTCCACTGGTCCCCCTGAAGAGGCTTTAAAGGCTGACTGCTACTCACAGAAGTCAGTCAGCAGAAATGAACACCAGCCCTCCTCTGGACTCTACTGGGGGTGAGCATCACCTCACAGGACTGTGCTGGAGACCCAGTGCTGGTGACTGAACCTGAGCCGGAACTGCTCTTTGCCTGGTGCATGTGAAAAGCTCTTGCTGCTTTTCATTTCATGCCCGGGTCATTCCTGTGTCACTGCCT